TGAAGAACTTCCCAACCAAAATGAGGTAATTATTTATGAAAAATTAAGGCTGTCTAGCATTTTAAGTAAACTAATTGAAACAATATGTCATCAAAGTGACCTCTTTTGTGTAGATTGGTTTGTTTAGAATGCTTGGATGTCGTGTGTGTGTCTTTTCATGCGGAAATTAACCGGTCCAAAGGAAGGTTAATATTTGGCCGAATTACATATACACTTGTAGTGATGAATGTGTGACAATTATAAGGTTACCATGTAAATAATAAATCAATCCAAAAATGGGTTTATTATTTAACAGGAGTTATTGTCAATATTTGATCACTACACTGAGAGTACCACTTGCAATTAATATTACTGTCCAAAAACTTGATATTGATGTTGCACTAGGTATCTTGAGATGAGATTTACCATCATTTGAATTTAACAAAAGACTAAACTAATTGTTTCCAAATGAACAACAATATCCAAATTTGTCCAGTGAAGAAACAGAAATTTCAACATATATGGGGCCACACATGTATATAAATTAAAATCTCTGTTGTTATCTTAAAGTTTTTAATCTATTAAAGTGATCTATCGGGTTTAATTTTGGATTTATTGGTATTAAGTGTTATGAGATTAAAGTGTAGAGACCGATTGGTTGTTTTAAATTGATGAGGGGCCAATTTAAAACAAAGAAAAGATGATAACTACCTGCAATTATGTATCATGGGGTCATGGTCCCCAACTGCACGTGAAATTTTCTAGATTTTCTGCATCCCTATCAACAGAGAGTTTTTCAAGAATTTCAAAGGAAATCACGTAACAGTTGGAAGATCATAACCCGAACAAAATCAATTACAATTTATGGATTAATGTACGCTTCCGCTTTCATTATGTCCTCTTTGATTTCAACATGGATCAATTATGCGAAAGGATTGTATTTTGGATTATTAGTTCCTTTCAAAACTAGATTAAAATCTTACAAATCTGTCATGAGTTTCCTGATCCAAAGGGCTTGATTAATAGCAGCAACAACAACTATATATTTTGCTTCTAGTGTGGATTGAGCTATGACTTCTTATTTCTTTGAACACCACGAACAAATTCCAGAGCCAAAACGAAAACAGTAATCTGAAGTGCTTCTCATTTCATCAGTTCATCCAGCCCAATCACTGTCATACTCGCTGGACTCTTATTCCATAGTCAACTATGCCCTTGACATATCTGAGAATTCATTTTGCTACCTGAAAGTGAATTTTACTTGCACAATGCATGTATCTTGACAGCAAACTTACTGCATGTCTAATGTCTAGCCAAGCAGCAATTAGGTACATTAGGCAGCCTATTAAGCTTCTGAGTTGCCCTTCATCAACTTTTTCAGCTTCATCTTCTCAGCTAAACTTCTTTTTTTTTTTATTCATTGGAGTGTAGTTGAATTGCATTCTTCCATTTTAAATTTTCTGAGTATCTCCTGTGCATATTGTTTTTGAATTACAAATATTTCATTTTGATTCTGTTGCACCTACATACCAAGGAAGAATGTCCTTATTCCAAGATCAGTTAATTCAAAAGCATCTTTCATCTTTTCTTTAAATCTGTCAACGAGCTCCTCATTACTTCCCGTTACAAGTAAATCATCAACATATAAAGACACCAAAAGTATTTCATCGTCAAACATCTTGATATATAAAGTAAATTCACTTAGGCTCTCTTCAAAGCCTAAGTTTATCAAGTGTGCATCAATTCTACTATACCAAGATCCTAATGCTTGTTTTAAACTATATAGGGCTTTTTTTCAGTTGATATATGTTTGTTAAAATTCCACAAGCATACGGGTTCATTGTATAAGTAATAATCATAATAAAAGAATCATCGTTCCACATGAAATAAGGGTCAATTTTAGTGTATTTGATATATTTAAATTCGTGAGTGTAACACAAGATGGTTGGTTTGTTTCTAATTGCGTTATATAACTATAAAAGCAATAAAAATTGGTTAAAGCTCAAGTACATGTATTGGATTTTCGACTCCACTAATCAACTCTTAGTTCTCTCAACTGGTGATAATTAGCTCAAGTTATCAATTGTAACGATTGATAATTCCACTTTTATTTATTAGTCTTTTCCAAAGTATAATAAACCTATGATTACCACGAGATAACCTTATTCCTAGTTCAAATTCATACGACAAACATGCATTGATGATAAGGATTATCATACATGATCGCATACGCCATAAATACTATTTCTAATATTTATTGCCCGTGTGTCCCTTAAATAGTGTTTTACCTAACATGAGTTTTTCAACACTACGAATAAATAACTCATTGTCCTAATAGTGCGTAAACATTAAAATTATGTAATTATGCACATTTATGGAATCACAATGCAATAATTAAGCTAAAAACATGAAGTTTTGAATTAAAAATTAAGAATCAAAGAGTTTTGTCATCCATCTAATACAAGAAAATTTTGCCTATCTTAATAATGTAAGAATTACAAAGAAAATAAAGAAAGTCATCACCCGAATCATTAGATTATGGAGAGAATTTGGAATTCTTCAATTAATGCCTTCAAATCTGGATCCAACGATGAATTCTTCACTCTTCGATGTAAGTTTTCTCGATTTTCTCCCAAAATTCGGCTCTCAATATGATAGATAGGTCTAGGGCCGTCTTTCACGTTCTGGACAGATTATGGTATTTAAAGTATGCTCAAAAAATTGTTACCAAAGTAGAGTTTCAATTAAAAAATGAAATAATATCTTACCTCGAAAAAGTACTATGCGGTCGCATAGTACAAATGAAAGCTCTAAGTCATAGATGTAGTCGCATATAATTAAACCTATGCGACCGCATAGGTATAACTTTTTCTCTCTAGACAGCCTTCAATATTTCGATCATATCTTTCTCTTCTAATATTTGATTGAAGTGATTTAAATTTAAATATAATTCAAGGGATGCAATTCTTATAGAGATATCATTTTTTCAATTTGAATGTTTGCTATGCCAAAAACGGGTCTTAAATAGAAACTGAAAATTTAAAGCATAACTTTTTCACTTAAAAGTTGATATATGATAATACTGTGATGATATTTCATCCCTTTGTCTTTTTTCCTCATTCGATTGGCCTCTAACACTCTCGAATCTTTATCGTAAGGTTTGACTCAACTTTTGAGTATTTGCACTTTAGTCCCCAAACTTTGAATTTGTTTTATTTCAGTCATTTTCTCTTGTAATCTTGTTCCTTTATCTTTCAATTGTATCCAATTATATCCTTGGCATCTTCGATCTTATTTCGCCCTTCTCATCTATGGTTTGTTTGCAATTTAGTCCCCAAATTTCAAATTTCGTCCTTTTTCATTATTTTACATTCTTTTCTCAAATTCTTCACCAAACATCGAGTTTTACCCACAAAAGGCAATATAACACAAGTTGGGAAGTATTTTATCCAAAGAATGGTAAAATATCATTATTTAGTATCTCGAATAAGTGAAGAAACTACATTTATCAAATCTCCAAACTTGAATATTTGTTTGTTCTCAAACAAAACTAAAACTTAACAAATACACAAACACGCAATGCTAATTATTTAATTGGTGGTTAGTTAATCAAGCAATAAAAAAAAATTTTTCTAGCTAACCTGACTTTTTATCAAAGGATTGAAATCATAATCTATGCATAGTTTCAAAATCATAATACAAAAATTAAGATCTACTTCTCCAATGTAAAATCGATGTATGTGTGAAAAATTAAGCATAACATTATGAATTCACAAGTAGTTTCAATTCCCGATCCTCAATGGTCAAATATGTTCTTTCATCACTCCTAAGATTCACACAACCTAAACTTATTTTTTTACTCTTTCCAAGTGTGTGATATAAGGTTTTATTTTTATACTATCCTCACCTCTCTAGTTTACATAAATATCACTATTTGCAATTCAACATGTCCATAAACAAGGATTCTCCATAATTCGATTGTTTCAATCTCCAGAAATCAACTAGGCTAATAATCTCTTTCAAAAGTCAAATTTTCTCAAACAAGTATTTGGTACTTAATCAAGGCATTTGGTGCAAAATACTTCTGTAGATTTAGAAATTTTATATGTAGGGAAATCTTCATTTTTATATTTAGGGAACTCATAGCTAAGAAATGCTTCTGTAGTTTACTTTTATATTTAGGGAAAATCTTCATTTTTATATTTAGGGAACTGATAGCTAAGAAATGCTTCTGTATTATATAGAAAATGTTGCAAAAGAGATTTACATAGATAATGAAAATAGAAATGACACAAAATACCTAATACAAACTACTGCACCATAAAACATAAGCCAACATACAACAAATGCTCTAAGAGGCATTTTGACAAACAATACATAGACAAATCATTCTGGTTAATACCCATCTCAATGGCTATACACTCTTCACTTTTTGAACCACCAAAATTGAATAAGAACATTCACAAAAACAGCCCAAAATCCAAATTTATAATTTTTGATTCCCATGAATCTACATCCATTAAACCGTCGCCAAGTTTTTTGTCCATGATTCCTCACAATAGAGACTTCTCCACAAAGGCATAATATTCCTTCCACAATTTGAGTATCACTTGATGAATGAAGCATCTCCAAGAGAAAAGAATGAAGACTTAGGGTTAGAGTTCGGATTTGAGAGCGATTCTCAGACGATCTTCTAGATTTTTAATTCTCTCAAATATTAAAATATGTGTTCTCGATTATTTATGTGGTGTTAGGGGCTATTTGGAAGGGTGAGTTGTTGAAGTGGAGTGTTTTAACTTTTAACGATTAAATAATATCACGTCGGATTTTCATCCGTCACGTGGACGATTTCGTCAAAGCTTCAAATGGATTTTATTTTAGTGATAGATGAGTTACATTTATGATATTTAAGTGAGTATTGAGTTAGTTCGATTAATAAGTAATTGCACAAATTAAAGTTTAGTGACCAATCGTTTATTTTACTCCTAGCTAGTTGTGAAAATTTTAAAGGTTTATTTTAAGAAGCTAAATTAATTCAACGATATCGTGACTTCAATCAAACAACTCGTTCTCTCTGAGTTACCCGCATTCCACCGATCCGATCCTCATCTCCAGATCCAAATCAGAATCCGAAATAATGTCATCGACTTTTAGCGGCGATGAGACGGCACCGTTCTTCGGCTTTCTCGGCGCTGCTGCCGCTCTAGTCTTCTCTTGTACCTTTCAATATCCACCAATTCATTCAATCTCCAGATCTAAGCGTGAAAAGTAAGCAATTATTTAATTCTTTTCTGTGTAGGTATGGGAGCGGCGTACGGTACGGCGAAGAGCGGCGTTGGGGTGGCGTCCATGGGTGTGATGCGACCGGAGCTGGTGATGAAGTCGATTGTGCCAGTGGTTATGGCTGGAGTGTTGGGTATTTATGGATTAATTATTGCTGTGATTATTAGTACTGGAATTAACCCCAAGGCTAAGTCTTATTACTTGTTCGATGGATATGCTCACCTTTCTTCCGGTCTCGCTTGTGGCCTCGCTGGCCTTTCTGCTGGTATGGCCATCGGTATCGTCGGTGATGCCGGTGTTAGGTAACTTTCGTTTTCTTCTCTTAACATTGTTTATGTGGATATGTATAGTGACCTAATTTGTTTGTCGTAAGCGATGTGGATTAAATGTTATCTTAATCGGATAAATTTGGTCGATTGCGCATGTCTGTAGGAATTTATTCCCCTTTTCTTTTCTTGTTGTACTTTTGGATTTAATTTATGATGTGCATTCTATGTTGACTCTTGCAATGTATTTTTGTTGTGCAGTTTGCTTGATTTATGTGATTGTTTGGATTGAGTGTTTTGAAATTTGAATTACTGTAAATTGCTACCTATTATACGGTCCGTTTCCTAGTTCTCTTATTGGACAGCAACTTGCTAGTTGTTTCAATCTGCCGAGGGATAATGTGCAATGCTTTTGGCGTTCACCGATATGTTTTTCATATATTTAATTCGTCTGTTTTGGTCTTTCATAGTTTTGGGATGTTTTGCCTTCACATTATGACATAAATAGTAAGAACATCTTCGAGTGGTTCTTTATTTGTCACATCGTCTACTAAAGAGCCAATCTTCATTTTAACTAGTCCAACAAACTCTATTTTTAAAGTAAAATGTGGTTTTAGTTCCCCAAAGGTAGAGAGTCAAACCAACTCTTTATATATTATGTCTAATGCTTTCACGGTTATTTCACAACTTCCTATGCACTTTGAAGGGAAGCAAGTAAAGAAAGGGAAAAAATGTTGGGTCATAATTATTTATGGGAATAGGCAAAATATAGAATAATTAGATAGAGTGCTATGAAACTTCATTCTTATGCTCTTTTTATTGAAAAATATGCTCTTTAAAATAAGCACATCTAAAAAAATTTGAAGTGCATATTTTTCAATATAAAGAAAATATTAAAAATGAAGAGTTGAACTTTTGATACAAGCCCAACAACTCTTTTTATATTTAATCTTTATTTTTATTTTTCCCACGATCAAATGTCTCAAGCTTTTCCCACCTTTTTTACGTAGCTTCCCCCTTTTTTGTTCTATCATATTATTTCTGCTTGAAAGAATTGCATGAAGAATTGTGAAATAATAAATGAAAGTGCTGAAAGTATTACATAGAAAGTTGATTTGGCTCTCTACATTTAGAGAGTCAAATCCACTCTTTATTTTAAATTTTACATAAAGAGAGCTTGTTGGACTCCTAAAGAAAGTGGTAGGCTTTTCTAAAATAAAGATTATGTGGCTAATAAAGAGGGTATTGTAGATGCTCTAACCTTGTGAATCTTTAGTATGTGAGCTTCTGCTGAATGCATCACTACTTGATTTCATTAGTGAAGTTCAGGTTGCTCGAAATTCTGTCAAGTGATGTAAGCTATTACATGGAATTTGGGACTTCAAATAGAAGTCATAAAAAAGTTATTCCATGTTTTTATAGATTCTAGTTGAAGGCCTCATTTCCACTCAACCAAGCATATTGTCGGGCATGAATTTGAAATGCTCTGTTTCTTAATATATTGGGATATCATCATGAATTCTTTTTTGCTTAAACTTAATTTTCGTATCTAATGTGGGGCAATCCATTTTGGTCACTTGTGTTTATGGTCTTTCTAGACTTTTTAATGGATATAGCAATGAACTGAACAAGGTGACAGGAAAGGATTTCTATAGCCGACCCCAAACTAATTGGAAAAGTGATTTGTTTGTTGTATATGGTCTTTATGATTGAAGTTGTGTGTTCTTTTGTGGTTTCAGCTATCCAGAGTTTAATCAATCCATTATCTCCTTGAAACACTTCGAAAGACCATCAATTTCGGTCTTTGGGTTGCCTTTTCATCTCTTTAGGACAGACACGCATCATAGTATTTACTCTTTACCTTATTATTTGTCTTTCACAGAGCAAATGCACAACAGCCAAAGCTCTTTGTTGGGATGATTCTTATTCTTATCTTTGCTGAAGCACTTGCTCTTTATGGCCTCATCGTTGGCATCATCCTCTCTTCTCGAGCCGGTCAGTCAAGAGCAGACTAGAAGACATCATTTGGCTTGAGAACTACGGTTTGTTACTATCAATTGCACACTAAATTATGTTCTCTCCAATTCCAAATGGTAGTTCGGGTGTGGCAGACTATTTTTTTTTTTTTTTAAACTTTATATGTGCTTGGCAATTGCTTAGCCTGAGGAAGTGGGTTATTGATACTGCGCTGATGATATATAGTAAATGATGAGTTGAGTTTGGTCCTTTCAGAAATAAAGTTCTCAACTAGGCTTTGTGATGATGTTTTTTGAAAGGACATAATTTAGTTTTCCTTGGTATCAAACCATTATGTGTATGAATCTGTTGAACAATAATTATTATATATATTTGATTACATTCTCCAAAATAGTCTGGTTTCCTATTTACTGTGATTAACAAGAATTGCTTAATTTGGACAAAGCATTATTATGAATTATTTTTTAATAAATTTTTGTTGACAACCACGTTTAGTTTAGTTACTTTTCATTTGACGTAAGAAAGTAATTTATTTTTGAAAGTGAAAGTAAGAGTTAGCCTGAAGAAGGAAATTAAAAGGTTGAACTTAGGTGATGGCGGCAGCTACTTCTGGCAATGAATAGCAATGGGAACGATGTTTTGTTTTGAACCGGGAAAGGGATTTTGATTCTATTTGTATGTTGAATAATACTAGTTAGCACCAGTGATTCTAGAGTGCCAGACCATTATGAAATACATGGGTTAGGTGGAACTGGAATGGAATGGGCCAATTCTTAATTTCAGTAACCAAATCAGAATCAAATTTAAGCTGAACAGTGCCTAACCGGATGGTTTGCTCCAGCTCGAATAAATATTAGAGTTTTAGCAGAATTTTGATAAAAAATTGATGAAGTTTATGATTGAAAAGTTAATAAAAGTTATAGATTTCATGAAACGTGAGGTTGAAAATGAGTTTGAAAAAAAAAAATGAATTTTAAGATTCGTTGCGGTCGGGCAAATGTCCATGCCTGATTTGGAAGAGTGTTATTTATATAGTAGAAATCTTCTTTACAACTTGGAACTTAGCATCTATGTTCCTAAATAAATAAGTAAATAAAACAAAATAAAAAAAATTAGTAACATTTTAGGACTAGCAGCAGTGAATACCACTACTAAAGATATGATTGGAATTAATGTTTGATTTTGATTAAATAGTAAACGAAACTTGCAAGTTACTTTTAAAGAAAACATGAGCACAGAGACTTAACATGCATTGCCTTCTCAAATCAGTACATTACTGGACATGGTGAACGTGGTTGCGCTTGATGGTTCTAAACTGAAATACAATAGTCATAATGTCTAGAATAAATACTATTTCGACTCAACGAAATATTCTAGATAGACTAAAACTCGGATGAGAATTCAGGCACAAACATAAGCTTTTAACCGAACAAAAGATTTAGCCCTCATTTGCTTTTGATTTTTTTATCGGAATTCCTTTTTGGTCAAACTCATTTCAACCACATATTTTTAATAAAATAATTTTATATGAACTCATAACTCTTTCTAGATTTTTACCGCGCACTCTTCAAAAAATTATTTGTTCACAAAATCTCTCTTCAAAAGATCAACATCAACCAAGTGTCTAGTAATGAAGCAGTTAGAACCCAAAAAATATAAATATAAATACAAATATAAATATAATAAAGAAGAAGAAGCATTTAGAAGATAAATATATTGTTTGTGGTGGCCAAAATTTGTTGTGGAAAGGAAATTCTCAAATTTTTACACATTTATAAGCTCCCGTTTGACTCTCATTAATTTTCATTTTATTACATTCCATTTTTCTCTTACCTCTTTTCAACTACACAATTTTACATAAAATAATATTACACGTAAATCGAACACTTTCCTTTTTTTTTAACCACTCATTTAAAAAAAAAAACATTATTCCACCTATTTCATTTCCAAAAAAATGGGGCCAAATGGGCCTAAATTATCTTACGTAGCTTGTATGGTNATCAAAATCAAAATCAAAATCACAGGTTTGGGCCGGCGGTTCAAATTATCCGCCAATTCACCGTCGAAGATGGTCGGGGAAGCCGGCTCATCCGCCGCCGCAGCAGCAGCAACTACCACCGGGGCCGAAACTGCTGCAAAGAAATGGTCATTATGGCCTTCGTTCTTCCGCTGGATCCCTACCTCTACTGACCACATCATCGACGCCGAGAAACGCCTCCTCTCCCTCGTCAAGTAAAGGAAAAAAAAATTGAACTTTTTGTTTCATTCGATTATCACGGATTAAAAACTTGTTTAGTCAACAAATTTATAGTCTAGTTCAGAATCATTCGATTATCACGGATTAAAACTCAGTAGATCTGTTAATTTGGGTAAGAGAATGATGGAGTGGCTGTTGAAAAGTACCAGATAAAGACGAGTGACTAATTGCAATAAAAAAATTTCAGTGATGAACTAGACTATAACTTCAATGATCGAACAGACTTTTAACGCCAATTATCTTGTAATTATTATCTGTCATTCCTTAATTCTAGTTTTACGATTAACTAAGTTCATATTACTAGGACTCCGTATGTACAAGAGCAGGTCAATATCGGGTCGGGTCCACCAGGGTCGAAAATCCGGTGGTTTCGATCCAAGAGCAATGAGTCGAGGTTTATTAACACCGTTACATTTGATAGCAAAGAGGGGTCTCCCACGCTTGTTATGGTTCACGGTTATGCAGCTTCGCAAGGCTTCTTTTTCCGGAATTTTGATGCACTTGCTAGACATTTCAAAGTCATTGCTATTGATCAGCTTGGGTTAGTGAAATTTCCATTTTTTGAGTCATCTACTTTATATTGTGGTTAATTTTTGGGGAAATTCACATGGCCAGCCCCGAATTATTGCATGGAAGGCACACTACACAAGTGGCTAAGCTTAAAAAAGTTTACTTATAAGGAAAGAAGTTTTAAAATAAGTAAATTTTTTTATGAGTGAAAGTTGATAAAATGATTACTTTGAAAATAAGTAAATAATAAAAAGGTAAGTTCCAACATGTTTTTGAGGCAAAATGAAGTAAATTTTATGTGTTTAAAGCTCATCTAATCATGCTCTTTATTGTTTGTTTGGGGTGGGGAGAGGTTCTGCACTAGTCTCAGTCTCTTTAGTTACTTTTTGGTGCAGCTGGGGTGGATCAAGTAGGCCTGACTTCACATGTAAAAGCACTGAAGGTTGGTAGATTAATGTTGAATTTAGTCATTTTATATATATTTGTTATCAGGTTTCAATAAGTTCTTCAGTTGCAAAAGCTTCACTTAATTAGTTTTTGCAAGCATTGATGAAGCAAAATTCATCTTTGGGTTGAAAACAATATCACGTCTTATACATACTTGGACTTGCATGTAGAAACCGAGTCCTGGTTTATTGATTCCTTTGAGGAATGGCGCAAGGCAAAAGATCTTAGCAACTTTATTCTACTTGGACATTCATTTGGAGGGTACATTGCTGCTAAATATGCCCTAAAGGTAATATTTTTCCATGTGAAATAATTTTTTTTTTTTTGGGTATCTATGACTATCATTAATTAAAAGTGGTTACTTTTCCATTTGTTATTGTTTTTCGAAGCATCCTGAGCATGTTCAACACTTGATTTTGGTTGGACCTGCCGGATTTACTTCAGAAACAGAACACAAGTCGGAGTGGCTTACCCAATTTAGAGCAACATGGAAAGGAGCCATTTTAAATCATTTATGGGAGTCTAATTTTACTCCACAGAAGATTATAAGGTCAGTAATTTATATTGCTCTTCTTATTTATGCCTTAATCATAATCTGTTATATGCTTGATTCTGCATATAAGGTTTTTTCTCAGTCCGTAAGCAATTCTGTCATGCTAATAGCTTTATTTGTTTCTGTTCCCAGAGCTGTGTACCTTTTCCTTTTACTTTCACTAAATGTTTTGTTCAACTCATAAGGCATGTTTGATAACGATAAACATTTTAACCTAGATATGGGAGTCAATTACCTTAAATTTTTATTAACATTTTACTTCCGTATAAATTAATCTGTGATTCTGTGAATGTTATTCTGGCCATCATTTTTCCAAGGGAACTGATAACATGTTAAACTTCTTAAATTTATTACTACTGGTTAACAAATGCCTTCACGTGTGAGTAGTGACATCTCTCAATTTGTTGAAGTTGATATCTTGGATGTATTGAGGATGTTTTTCAAATCTATGAATGTTATGCCAGAGTCATAATTTTACTAACAATCATTATAACCTGTTTAAAACTTCTAGTGTAACTAAGTGCATGTTTGGCAAAGCTTATAATTGCTTATAAGTTTGTCAAACTCCATTTTTATCCACATATTTCGTAACCACAATTTTTACTCTTATTATTATCTACACATTTCATGGACCCAAAACTTAAATCTAGCCCGTTTGGTGGGGATTAAAGCCAAATTTTAGTAAATTTTGATAGAAGTTGATAAAATGTGTGGTTGAAAAGTTGTGGGATCCTTAAAATATATAGTTGAAATGAATTGTTGACTTTGATTTAGATTTTAATTTGTACCAAATAGGGGCCTAATAAAAGCTTAAAGATATCTCGGTAACGAAAACTATAGGGGATTGTGTTGGCGAGATCCAGCGGTGAACAATTTTTGCCAAACATGCTCTAAGTCTTATGTGACGATCAAAGAGGAAAAAACAGATTTATGGATGGTGCTGACAGATGCAGGCAAATGCTTCCATGATAATATGTTAACTTTGATTTCTTGACACCATAGGATCGTAATTTAACTCCTACAAATTCCTGGTTCTTTTTCTATTGCAAATTATTATACCATTGAGTTATTGATTGTTTATTAAACTGAAGCGATTTCACTTCTTCAAGTATCTCTGCCATCATTGAGTTATATGCTAGAGTGGGTTCACATCTGATGCTTCTTCCTGTATTAGCTACTTAGAGGTATTGCTACCTATTGTGCCTCTCTAGTTTGGGCTCTTCTGATATCAAATTAGGCTTGGGCACTTCTGTGCACTGTGCACTGTGCACTGAAGCTATCAGTTTCAATATAAGAAATTTGTATTACTTTCTGGAGATTGATTTACACTGAATTAGCTTATTTCCTTGATGAAATAGAGGTTTTGGCCCCTGGGGTCCAAGTCTAGTTCACAGGTATACGAATGCTAGATTTGGTTCATATGCAGAGGGTGATGGTTTGACTGAGGAAGAATCTAGATTACTCACAGGTAGCTTTGAATTAAGTTGAGATTTATTTGCTGGCTGCTAATGACTCTAATTAAAGTCTTTTTTTCCCTCTTGAAGACTATGTATATCATACTCTGGCAGCTAAAGCTAGTGGGGAGCTGTGCTTAAAATATATATTCTCCTTTGGAGCATTTGCTCGAATGCCTCTTCTACAAAGGTAAGATGCTTAGAAGGTCTTTCGCTTAGTGTCCATAATACAATGTTTACAAGCTGTGAAGTTATTTTGGGTAGATGTTTTGTGAATGAGATTATATGTAATATGGCATACTGGGGACGTAAATTGCATTTCATAGGAGACTTTCCATCTAGATTTCTATACCCATGCCAAAACAAGATTCTTCTACTGCATAGTAGTTTGTCTCAAGCTTATTGATTAGACCATGGAAGTATAGCATTCATGATGAAGAAATGCATATTGATTAACCTCTGTTACTTGGTTTAGACTCTTTTTTACATCGAGTTCCAAATTTTGATTCAGTAGACTTGTGAGCCATTCTTTTTCTTATTTATGTTCTGGTGTGACTGGCATATTTATAAATGTAGTTGCATGGTATAAGATTATTTGAAGATTGATGTTTTATTTTCAGTCAAAAGTTTGAGCTCTCAGATTTACCTGAAAAAGCTTGTTGAGCGAGCATTTTCCAAAGACATGCTTGACAAGAGAGTCTAAGTGCATGTTTGGCCAAGCTTTAAAAAATTACTTTAAACACATTTATTTTACGTATAATTGAGTAAGTTTAAAGGTGAATAATCTTTTTGTTGGTAAATTTGAGGGGTAGCTCAGTGGTTAGGCCTTGAATTTGCTCCCCAATGGTCATCAGTTTGAGTCCCCTCAAGGCCAATGAGGTGAGTACTCGACTCTAAACTTTAGGTCCTCGTGGGATTAATCGAGATGCGCCGTAAGTTGGCCCAAACACCCATGATCATCAAAAAAATAATAATAATCTTTTTGTTGGTCAAAATTGGAAATATTCAATTATTTATGCCAAAGTATCTCTTACGTTGTTGTCAAAGCAAGTAACTTTTGACCTATAATTAAGAAAAGGTGACACATAACATGTTTGAAACAAAAATTGCTTATATGCTTAGCCAAACATGCCTTGAGACATTGAAAACCTCCAAATAATTTCTGCAAGAGGATCACTAGTATGTCGATTGAATGCCTAATTATGGACTGATGCATAAGTGTTAAAACTGATAAAGTTCTCAACAATTTGCCATACACAATAGGCGATCTAGGATTTTGGTACTACAACCATACTATTATGTGTGTTGTGGGGGGGGGGGGGGGGGGGGGCAATCTAGAGACTTTTGATACGTCACATAGTCTTGTTCTGCAAGGGCATTGCTGAGTGAGATTTTAGTATATTGTTGATTCTGAATAGAATAGCAGGATGATTCATCATTAGTTTACAGGTTGGGCAAAGTACTAATAAAATCTTGTCTATATCAAATTCTCTTTCTGAGAAGACAAGAAATAAAGAGATAGCTATGGATGGCAATTGATTTCTCTTTCCTTGTTGCAGTGCGTCTGAATGGAAGGTGCCGACAACCTTCATATACGGTTTCAACGATTGGATGAATTACAAAGGAGCACAAGAAGCTCGCAAACACATGAAGGTCCCATGTGAAATCATAAGGGTTCCACGGGTCTCTCTCTCTCTCTCTCTCTCTCTCTGTGTGTGTGTGTGTGTGTGTGTGTGTGTGTGTGTGTGAGTGAGTGCCCGCATGTGAATTTATGGGGTTAGAAAAACTGTTAGTCCTCCCAACTTACAACTTTGTTTCAGCCAAACTTTTTTGCTCCAAGTCAGTGCCAGATTTTCATTTTTGTTTCAGTTTAGGCACTCCGCCTTGCTAAATTTACCGAAATCCTGATGTGGCTAATGTAAATGATGATTTGGCATGGAAAATCCATTTGTACATTATTTTAAATGTCAACCTAGGCAAAAAGGCATATTGGTTTGGCAAGTCAAGCTTTGAAAATGCATTTTGATATAGGAACAAATGGATAAATAGAAAAAAAGACTAACCTTTTTCAACATGACACATTTTTTCCTAGTTGGATTATAAAAATAATGCATCAATGGATTATCTGTGCCATTTTATTTCCTCTGATTCAGCAGACACATATACACAGTGCCTAAACAAAATCGAAAATGGAAGTACAATGATTAACAACAGGAAATGCACCGACACTAAAATGGAACAGAAGTTTAGTGACTAACAGTCTTTTTCACTGGAACAATTTTAAGTTTGGTAATTTTCGCCTTTTTAATTCTTGCCAAAATCATACCATCAACCTCAAGAATAATGGAGTTGTTTTCATGTTTATTATTGCAGGCAGGACACTTTGTATTTATAGACAATCCGACTGCTTTCCATTCAGCAGTAATCTATTCCTGCCGTAGGTTGCTTTCACCTCACCCGGATAATATTTCACTCCCAGAAGGCCTAGCTTCTGCCTGAAAGTAAGATCTTATGTTGTATAATATTTCTGAATTTACAGTACAAATAACATTTATCTTGAAAATATTCAATTGATTATAATAAATTACAAGCATTTTTTGTTTTCAAATCAAATACCAGCAACAAGAAAAATAAATGCAATAGCTAGATGATGATGAGCAATATCGGTCAGCCATAAGTTTGTGGATGGAATCCCCCGAGAAGAGTTAGAATGGCATCCTGGAGAATGGCATCAATCATGCATTCCTTTAGCTATATTTGGTACAGGTATAAGTATGTTAGTATCGTATGCCATGTATGGCTGTATAATCTTGATTGGAAGCCTAATATTTCCCTTTATTAATGCATAGTTCAATTTTCACATTTGATTATAGTTTTTCTTGACGTTCAGTTGAGGTGCAAAGGTGGGTCAGGCTCTCCGAGTCATCGGTCGAGCTGTTAATGGCTTGACCTAAGCCTGACAGTCCATGCCTTGGTTTGTGTTCGGTTGGCCCAGGTCGGTCAACTAGAGCATGTGCGTCAATCCGGTTTTGCACCTCAACCTTCACAATGCAAGCTAAATCTCTAGGGCTATGGCTAGCCCTCTCCCATAAAAAGAGTCTTATGGAGCTTGGACTTCACATTTGGACACCAACAGTCTTGATAAGTTAAGGGCTTGTTTGTAAGTATTCCAATATTTACTCACGAAAGGGTATGGCAACCTCCTCATTTTTTCTGAAATATTATTTTGTTTTTAATTATAAATATGGTTAGAAAAATAGATTGAAATATATATTTTTATTGATATCAAACACTTCAAGCTTGGGCTTGACAAGCTTCAAAGCCGCTTGAGTATGTCGAGTATACATTTCACAGAAGTCTATTATAAAGCTTTGGGATGTCGCTAGCACCATCTGCTATGGGTTATTCAAAAAGGAACAGGCGCTATGATCAAGCTTGTCAAGCTTTTATATACTATGATTGGGGTGTTATTTCGTATAATCATGTTACAAGTACAAAAATTTTTTGATAAAAAATTCTTATATAGATAACACATGGGGCGGCATCATTGGAAGATGGGAAAAACAGAAAAAAAATTGTCTAACCATATTTGTCACGTCAGTATTGGTATGTATTATGTTAATTTTTTTCCTATACTTGAAACTTTATTCTTCTTCAAATCGAATGTATGTATGATTGTGTCACGTGAAAGTAGATATAAAAAGTTGGAAAAAAAAAATGTGTGTCAGTTCATGCTTTTATTTAATTTTGATTTATCTGTATATATGTATCTTTCATTTATCTATAGATGCACATAAATAATTTATTTTTTGAAAATTATTGTGAAATGCTACAATTAGGGACGGCAACGGGCGGGAGGGGGGAACTCGTTATCGTCCCTGTCTCTTCTGAGATTTTTAGGAAGTCGATAAGGGCGAGACGGGGTTAAAAAATCTCCCATTTGTTGTAATATATTTTTATTTTGTTTTTTAAAATAAAATTTTAAGATGAAAAGCATAAAAATAGAATAAAATAATTCGGGGAGAATTCGAGGTATTTGTGACGAAGACCATGATCCCAGCGTTGCCCCGTTTACCATTCAAGACGGGATTTTTCGTCACAATACAGGACGGATCGAGTTGGGAAATTTTGTCATTACTATGTTTTTATACTTAAATATTGCATATGAAAATTATGTATAATTCTAAGACATTAAAAACAGAGAGAGAAAATTATAAATCCCGTAAAGTATCTTTTAGGGTAGATATTTTAACAAGAGTCGAACCTCTCGAATCTGAATTGGAGGTTTCAATCAAGCTTCAAAGAAAGAATCAAAATTGAGAATCGAGAACTGATCGTGTCTAATACCGTCTTGACTCTTGATCCAGAATCTTGGGTACTTGACTCTAGAATGAAGAAGTTATTTTTGTAATTTTTATAACTCATTCATCATAACCTAATGATCTAATCACAAGTAGCAAGTTTATGAGATCCAAGTAGTAAGTATCCTAATTAATCATATTCATTCATCTAAATCATTGAATCATATCGCTCACATTCATAGCCATTCTTGATCGCATTTTACGTGCTATCTATCCCCACAAACCTTTTTAAGGCGGCGCATCACTCAGAGCCATGGACAAAGTTGGATACTATTATGTTAGGTACTGGACGTTATTTGATACATATTTGCAATGTATTAACAAAGTTTTGAAATATGTATTTGGTGACATATTTTATTTCTTCTATTTTTGTTAAATATCGAGGGAGATAATACTCTCAGCTCATAATATATATATTATGGGTAGAATCGAACTGAAATAAACAATTTGGGTTTATGTTCATTCGATTCCAATAATTACGTGGATTTGAAATTTCATTTATGAAATACTCAAACTGTAATGGACAATTCCACTAATGAAATACCCAAACATATTCTCTCAACGTTCAAGTCTAGTATCTACTATTAAAGTTTCTTCAACGTTGCTCTTTATTTTAAAGAATATTTTACACAACTCCAATAACACTCTATATTCATTCATTATTTTTCTCTTTTTCTATAAACAATTGTTGCTCATCATTTTTCAATTGAGCAATAATATATGAAGCATTGGATGGAAGCTGAATTTGACTCTCTCCATTTAGAGAATCAAATTCACCCTATAATAATAATAATAATAATAATAATAATAATAATAATAATAATAATAATATGGATGGAAGCTGAATTTGACTCTCTCCATTTAGAGAATCAAATTCACCCTATAATAATAATAATAATATTATTATTATTATTATTATTATTATTATTATTATTATTATTATAGAGTAAAGCATCAATTCATTCAACTCGTATCATCCCCAACCATGGACGAGAAATAAAGGCACACAGTCTGCCAACAAACCAAACGAGGATTTAGTGGAAGATGGCTATCTTTCCAAAGTAGCTTTTGTCCGGATTTCGGAGAAAAAAAAAACATTTAAAATTTTAAAAATAATTGACTTGTCAGTTATACCCCCGCACTTTGAAGAAGAGAGAAAAGAGTGATAAATTAAGACGTCCAGACTCGATCAACACCAAGAAATCGACTATCTAGGCTGAAGGAATTTCAGGTGAGTTACTTGAAACCATTATATGCAATTAATTTTTGAAATAAAGCGTGATTATTCTCGGACTTGTTGAAAAATGTATGCAAAAATCTTGGTATATGATGGAGGTATGGTCTTAGTATAAGATCAGGTGGCGGAGATTGCCATTACAGTCGCTTGCGAAAACACGGGTGGCGAGGGAAGGAGGCCGTCCATCCATATGGCTGGGCCGTTTGGGTATGGGCTAGGGCCCTTTCATGTTTTTCTTAATAAATATATATATATTTTTTTATCTAAAGAATTATTTGAATTGTTTATATTTAAAATAATTATTTTAATTGATTTTGATTGTTTACATTTAAATAATTATTTTTTAGTTGTTTATATTTAAATAACTATTTTTTAATTGTTTCTATTTAATAATTATTTGAATTGTTTTTGTTTCGCGCGGATTAGTCGCTAACAATTAAAAAGGATCAGACGATTGTGTAAGGGACAAACCTCTTGAGACAAAATTCCAAAAATGGGTGTTCTTTTATTGGCGATGACTTTACAATTGGAAATGAAAAACAACGTGCTTCCAAGGGGCGCGAGCACACGAGTTACTGAAAGGAAAGTGTTTAAATCTAAAAACTAAGGAAATGAAAATTACATGTTCTCTGTTCAAGAGTTTTGGATTCGGTCCCTTGTTTTTATGTCATTTCTCCCTTTTATACTTCATAAACGATCTCTTTGTGATCAACTACTCTAAAAACTGCTTGATCGTCCTATAACTACCCACTTTCTTCGTAATGGCCAACTTATCGTGAAAACTGTCTTTTAACTGCTGCCATTACCTTTCATCGTTCAAGCGCTTTCGATTGAATCCCTTGAATCGTGGAACGTGATAGGGCTGCTTTAATAACTGCTTTGATAACTGCACTTCTTGATAACTACGACGCGTTATGTTTGTTAATACCTTGGGCGACTTGAAGGTTTGGGCGAGAATAGAGTAACAGCTCTAGGCGACTGTATGACACTCCATTCGCTCAGATTCTGGGCGACTTGCAAACTTGGGCGATGGCATTACCGCGTTCTTGGGCCTCCTTATTTGGGGATCCTCCAATTGGGCTTCACTCCTTAGGCTGTTCGATTTGGACTGAATTTTTATGTGTCAACAATTACCCCCCAGTATGGCAGAATTAATAATAATTAGTAAATTTTGCCATATTCACTTTGTGTTTCCAGCAACATTCGAAATTCTCAAGAATTTCAATCATTGTTTCCTTCTATAACTTGAAAAGGTGCGTCGTTTTGCAAACCCTTATAAACCCCAAACACGCCATTTCACTGCTGCCAAACCACACCTCATATTTTTTGCGTCTCTTTCACGATTCACTGTTCATCTTTTGCTTCCCTGCTATGTAACCCTGAAAAGTTTCGTTCCTTCTCAAATGGCTGTTTCACAATCTCAAGCTAGCGATTCCTTTAGTTTTGATGACTTTCAGAGACTTCTGAGTCGCCCATACATAACCCCAAGTTTTCTCGCGCCGCCGACGTTGGACGTAATGAGTTTTACTTGGGTCCTTTCTTCAACAATGCGGAGGCAGTTGAACAGGCGGCGGTGGATCAGCTGTTTCCTTGCACTTATGGTCCTCCATTTCTGAACTCTCTACCGCTGGGGCCACTTCGCGAAAGAGGTATTCGCACTTGGCCTAAATCTGATGTAGCTTTCCGTAGGTGGCATGCTCGCCTTGTGGGTCATGGTCTTACTAAGGCACTTTTTGATAGCGTTAGGATTTCTGATTTGTTAGAAATCTCTATTCGCCTCCCTACTTTTTATTCAGCACTCTTTTCAATTGCTTTGAGTTTTTGGTCTTCTGAGTATAACACCTTTTTTTTCCCTCTTGGCCCCATGTCTATTACCTTAAGGGATGTTGGGGCCCTGGTGAATCTACCAACTTTGGGCGATACCATTTTTCCTTATATCTTAGTTTCTGGTGGCGCCCCAAAGTTTAGTAGAAACTACACCGATTCTTATTCAAGCCTGCAAACCCTCCATAATCATTCGAGCGCTGAGCCTTCCCATACTGAGCGAGTAGCCTTCCTTTTAGTTTGAGTTTGTAAATATGTTTTGTGCATGCCAAGCATAAAGCCCTCTCTGAGTTATTTACCTATAGCGCACGAATTGGCGCGTGGCCGGCCTTTGAATTTATGTTCTTTATTTTTGGCTGCCCTTTATAGAGGCATGGCCTCTCTTCAAGCTCAATTGAAGAATGGTGCATCTCCCACTGGCAGTGGACCTCTTTAGTTCACTCAACTG